TCAAGTTCTGTGTGTTTCTTCTTTCGTTTTTAATTTATTGTCCATCAGTAAACTCGCCGCCTCTCATGCCTACTTAGTGATATTCTCTCAAGATTCTTGTATCTTTTAGGACTAGTCCTTGGAGTAGCTAAGCAACATGGTGGCCTCTATTACTTCCAAGCCTATAATGATTCCTCCATGGCCCTCTCTTCCAACTTATCAGTTGTTTATCTTTGGCACTGATGCATCGGTCATGTTTCTTCTGCTCGTTTAAAGTTATTAGCTAAAAACGTTAATGACATTTCTAATTTTAATTATTGTCACTGTGACATTTATCATTTAGCTAAGCAAACTAGTTTGTCTTTTGCTTCTAGTTGTATCTCCTCACATGCACCTTTTGATCTCATACATTGTGATATTTGGGGTGGCTATTGCACAACTTCTCACTATGTAACTCATTATTTTCTCGTAATTCTTGATGATTTTTCACGATATACCTGAGCGTTTATTGTACGCACAAAATCTAATACACAACCTTTACTAAAATATGTTCGTACTCTTGTAAATACCCAATTCAATTATAAAATTAAACAAATTCAGACAGTTAATGGCTCTGAATTTTTTTCAACCAACATACGCCAATTTTTCAATAAAGCGGAGTACTTCAACAACACAATTGTGTTGCCACTCCACAACAAAATGGTGTTGCTGAACGCAAACACCGTCATATCCTTGAAAGGGCACGAGCCTTGCATTTCCAAGGACATCTATCCATCATTTTTTGGGGTGACTGCATCCTTACAGCCACATATTTAATAAATCAAATTCTAACATCCTTATTATCAAACAAATCTTCTTATGAAGTCTTCCTCAATAAACCTCAAACCTCTACTCATTTGAGGGTTTTTTGTTGTCTCTGCTATGCCACCACTCTGGCTTCTAATCGAGACAAATTTGATGCTTGGGCTTGCAAATGCATGCTCGTTGGATATCCTCATAGTAAAAAATGATATCATGTTTTTTACTTGCAAATTCATAAATTTTTCATTAGCCGGGATGTTGTTTTTTATGAGAGCATTTTTTCCTTTTTCTCCTCTACTACAACCACCTAGACAACCAATAGTCATTTTAACAATACCCATTCTTGACCTTCCACAAACCTCAGATTACCCCTCTCCTTCAATTAACCCACACACCACTTCCTCATTGTCATTGCCCCATCTATCTAGAAATTTGGCTTCCCCACAAACTATTCAGGAACCACCCCAAATTACTTTTCATGATTCCTTGGATACAATGGATAAGGTTTCCATTACACCCCAGTTCGATCAAGAATAATCAATTCAAACCACCCATTCTCTATCTCCTCCCACACATGTTCACAAATCACAACGATCTCATCGTCCACCATCTTATCTTAAAGATTTACATTGTTTTCAGGTCATAAATCACAACGATCTCATCGTCCACCATCTTATCTTAAAGATTTACATTGTTTTCAGGTCATGCAGCCAACTCCTCCAACATCCACTTCTGCAACTGGACCCACCCAAGGTACTAGATATTCACTCTCTCAATTATCTCTTATGAGCATTTATCTCCATCTCAGAGCTTTGTTTTCGTTGTCACTTCCATTTTGGAACCCACTTCTTTTCCCAACTATGCAAGACCCGAAATGGCAGGAAACAATGCAAAATGAGTACCTAGCTCTTGAATAGAATAACACCTAGACTACCACCACCTTACCCCTTGACAAAAAGGTCATTGTTGCAAATGGGTTTACAAAATGAAATATTGGTCAAATGGCATTGTTGAGCGATATAAAGCATGTCTCATCACCAAGGGTTACACCAAGCGAGAGGGGTTAGATTGCCATGAGACCTTCCCCCCCATTCCAAAGATGGTTACTGTATGATGTTTGCTTGCCATTACTTCTGTCCAAAATTGACCCCTGCATCAACTTGATATTCATAATGCATTTTTACATAGGGACTTGCAAGAAAAAGGGTATATGAATCTTCCCCCAGGATTTTATGGACACGGGTGTATCGTTTACACAAGTCTCTCTATGGCCTTAAACAGGTTTCTCTACAGTGGTTTACAAAATTCTTCATTGCTCTCCTCAATGTTGGATTTGTTCAATCTTAAGTCAACTATTCACTATTCACACATCACAAACATCATGAGTTCATTGTTGCACTTGTGTATGTGGATGACATCATTGTCACTGGCAATAACCCTGTTGCCATCACTTCTCTCGAGCAGTTTCTTCATTGTCGTTTCCACTTGAAAGATCTCGAGCTCCTAAAATATTTTCTTGGCATTGAGGTTGTCCGCTCCAAAAAAGGCATCTACATCACTCAACGCAAATACACATTGGAAATTATTGAAGAATTCGGGTTTCTTGGGGCATGTCTTATTCATCTACCCATGGAACAACACCACAAACTCAATGTCATTGTTGGTGATCTTCTATCTGGCCCTACTATGCATCGGAGACTTATTAGCCAGCTCATATACTTGACCATCATCAGACCCAACATTGTTTATTTTTTTCACATCCTTAGTCAGTATATGAGCCAATCTCTCAAATCACATCTTGTAGTGGCATTGCGCCTAGTTTGATATTTGAAACTCTCTACAGGTCAAGGTTTACTCTTGCCTTCTGACAGTGCCTTCCAACTACGAGGTTTTTTGTGACTCTAACTAGGCAAGTTGTCATGATACACGTCGCTCTACCAATGGCTATTTTGTCATGTTAGGAAACTATCTGTTATCCTGAAAGATGAAGAAACAACACAGTCTCTCACTCTTCTGCTGAGGCAAACTATTGTGCCGTAGCATCTGCAAGTTGTGAAATTACATGGCTTGGTTTTCTTGACTTGGGTGCCTATCATTCAAAACAAGCCATCTTGTTTTGTGACAACCAAGCTGCTCTTTACATTGCCGCGAATCCAATGTTCCATGAACGCACTAAGCACATTGAAATAGATTGCCATTTTATTAGAGACAAGATTCAATCCGGCATTATACGAACTTCCTATGTTCCAACCACCCATCAAGTCGCTGGCATTTTCACCAAAGCCTTGGGCAAAGAACAATTTCTATCTCTAATCCACAAGTTGGGTGTTCTTTATATTCACTGAGGGGAGTGTTGGCTTGCTTTACAGCTCATAATCATCTTTATGGAAGTTTCTTTTTTTTGTAAGATATATACAAATCATATCTTGATAACATTTGTTGTAACATCCCCATAATCAATGGATTGTGATTATGTATTATGTGTATATAAGCATCCGTTTGGGACAATGAAAAATACATAGTTTTCCCAACTTATCAAAATCTATAATGTTTTAGGAGTTCACCATCCGTCATTTTCCTTCATCTCTCTCTTTTCTCACTCATTTATCTCTCTCTCTCTCATCTGCATCCTTTATTTTGGAAGAATATATTATTTTCCTTCATCTCTCTCTTTTCTCACTCATTTATCTCTCTCTCTCTCATCTGCATCCTTTATTTTGGAAGAATATATTATTGGACTTATGCCCTTTTGAGGCCTTAACCTCAACATTATGTCATGATTCTTGTCATAGTGGGAGGGAACCATGAGTTTTGTCTCACCAAATCTTGGCAAACTATGATTTGTAGAGACATAAAATCCCGAATCATGAGGAGGACATGGTTGAGGAACTTTTTGAGCCGAGAGATTTGTTCCTTTATTCATAGTCACTATGACAATACCTCGTGGTTTGTGAGCCAAGAAATAAATATTGTGTATTTCTAAGGATTTCTATGACCTCGAGTATTTCTAAGTATTTTTATGAGCTTTACATTAGCCAAAATCCCTGACTTCAAGCTTTCACATAGAACGTATACATATAATTACAAATGGTAAGCCACTATCTCAAAGCAAGATCCAAATAAAAGAGTTAGGCACATGTGCTAAGAGAGGTGACTTGGCATCTGCAAAAGTATGTGTTCTTGGGACTGGCCCTGCAATCCATTATAAATCCAGAATTTGGCCAACAATCCACTATAAATCCAGAATTTGGCCATCTATTGATTGACTTTGATAGGCTCTAACATGCAGCCCCTGCAAAAGTATGTGGGACATAGATCTTGTTGGATCAATCTAAGATAAATGAATTAAGATCTCAGATTTAGCTAGGTCGAGTACCCTAATGACATACTTCATTTCTTAAAAGGATCCTAACTCTCTCTTCTTCTTTTTTGAAAAAGTTTGTTTGGAAAAATGACCATAGAAAACAGTCACGTGACATATGTAATACCCAAGTAGCCAATGAGCACCACGCAGCCACCGCATGGTGCCACATCACCACACGTTGGTGACATGCATCTGAAGTTCACAACAATACGGTGGCGTGGCCTTATGGCCTAGTTTGCTTGATACATATATTCATGATGTGTACGTGTATTGTGTATGAGATGAATTTTTTCACACTTGTGGCTTACCATGTTGGATTAAGATATTTTCCTATATCTGTGATCTATTGTCCAATTAAAACTTAGATCTAATGCTCCTAACTACACTTATTTGATTCATATAGATTTATGGTTCACTATATTTGTTTCCTATAAATGTCATTCAAATATTTGAATGTATGATCATGCGCTATCAATCTTGGGCATTCTCAAAAAGTACATACAAATCCCTGATAGTAAACCGGGCATTTTATAGCTCTACAATCTGCTTCCCTTCCCTTAATTTTTAGATTAAGTGCGCACATCCGGTTCATGTTTATGTAAGTGAAGATTCATTGTTTTAAATCTCATAATTCAATGTTATGTAGTTCAAATTTATTTGACTTCTCATTGTATAAGTTACTGAATTTCATGTCACAGTCACATTGCATAATGTTACTCAATCTCCATAGAGTTTTATAAATTGTAAATTGTATTGAGACCATCTTGAGGTCATGTATTTATGTTTCATGAATATTTGAAGTGCACTAAATTGCTAGAGCTCGGGGTATGTTGCTGTAATTTTAAGTCCAAAAGAATTGTGTTGAAGTATTTGAGTTGCATTGAATAATAAAAGTTTTTTGAGTTGTACCTTAAACTCGGCTCTGTACATTCATCATACAATTAGCATGCATCAAATATCTAAGTTCACCATTTGACTTACTATACAACTTTTAACTAAGTAAAGGTTTTGTTATATCGTCATTTTCCATTTTAAAGCTTGTTTCATCAAAAGCATAGCCTTCTTTCTTCTTAGCCCACAGCACGAAGTAAAGGCCACTGAATATGAGAAACATTCCTCCTAGGCTGCAAAAGATATTCTTCAAGGGATTAGAAGAACAAGATTCATTCAAAGGATAACTACCTAATGTAGGATTATAAAGTTATAATAGAGAGGTACGGGTTTTTTAAGTTTGTGTCTATTTGATGATACTCTTACGACCACCCATTTTGAAATTTAAAAGATAATAATGATTGCGACCTCGTTATAAAAAAAGCAAAAAGTCTCTTTGTAAATAATCCAAGTAAAATAATCCCAATAAAAAGACCTAACGATGTAAAAGAATGAGATCTAGGGTTGATTGCTACAGTGGCATGGATCTTGTAGAATATGTGTGCTTTTACAATAAACTATTCAAAAGTAGCACATTATTAAGGACATCTTTGCAAAGGAGCAGTACATTAATGTGGACAATTTTACTTTGGAAGAGTTTGAATGCATTTTTATTCTAAAAATCCAGTCATGTTAAAGATGGATTTAAAATTTTACAAGCTGATAATCCTGACCAACATGAATACCAAAAAGAAGGATTTTTAAACCTAAAAAAAATAGACTATTTTAAAGGAGTTAAAATGAAGGATCAAAAGAGGGTAAAAGGAAGGGCAAAATAATCTATTTTTAAGGTTCACAATCTAATTTTTCATATTCTTGATTGTCGAGGTTGTCTAGGATTTCTTCGTTTAAAAATTCTAGATCCAACATGCATCTCTAAGATGGGTTTATGAAAGAAGACTGCAATGTTTGATGCACCAAAACCCACCTATTCACAAACACACAACAAAGTTTAATAGCATAACACAAAGAGCATATTTCTTTTTTTTTTAGATCTTATAGAAATTTATGTATAGAACCAAAATAATTTTTGGAATGAAAAAATAGTCATTATTTTAGGACATTTTAAGTCTTAAGTCCAAATCTCGAGGCTTTCTTTTATTGTTTGCATTTTATCCATGTTTTGAAAGTTCAAATTTTGAACTGCCCAAAATATAACAACACTTGAAAGTGGTCTTTAAACAGTTTGAAAGTCCAACTTTTGAACAGGAGTAACATGAAATAAACTCAAAAATTTTGAAACCTCATAAAATGTCTTTAAAGACATGTCCTCAAATTTTTTAATACCCAAACAATCTTAGATTTATGCAAACATTTCTGTACATTCTGAATATTATCTTACAATCAAATATCAAATAACACTCATGCCCACCTTCTGAAACTAAATATAAAAATCTATTCTGGCAATGAGATTGAACGTATATATAAGGGTGAGCTTACCTTCCAATGTGTAAAGCCTCTCCCAAGAGTAGCATCGAGAGAATGGCAGAGCAAACAGTTCCCACTGGACTGAACACAGAAACCAGAACAGGCCCTCTTTTCTTGACACTCCATGCATGAAAAGTCGTACATAATCCATTGACAAAGCCTCCCTATTAACAAACAGTGTCAATATCTGAATAGATTTGGCATGTGAAGAACGAATAACACAGGCGTATATACTATACACCTACTCCCTCAGTCATAAGATTTGTCCAATTTCAAATTTTGAGAACGACCTAAGAATCAATAGATGATTATTTTCCAAAGAAAAAAAAATTGAATTTTCAGACACTTAGATCTCACCCACCAAAAATTACATGCAAAAATTAGATGGTTTCTTCTCACTCTTGAGACATTATGTTTTTTCCAAAAATGCAATTTGGAAAGAAAAAAGAAAACAATTGGAAGAGGTTACATCTCCAAAATTTGAAGTCCTAGACGTGCTTCTAGACTTAGTTTTCCTTGAGGGAGTAAAAGAGCATGAAATCTTTTGGTATATTAAGAGAATAAAGAGGAGTTATTTTTTAAAAATTAAGTAAGAGTATGGCTTTTTAATATTGGGATTGTATATAATGACACTATTTGGTACAGAGTCACAAATCATTTATGACTACCCGATGTAAAATCTGATAGCTTGGGTGTGTCACAAAGTTCAAAAAAATTTCTTTTGAACTTTGAACTTGATCAATGAAATAAATGTAACCACCCAATTTCACATCCAAGAATCAAAATTAATTGTGACCCCCTTGTACCAAAAGTAAATAATCTCATTATATACTTTTCCTTTAATATTTCCCGCTACTATTATGTTTTCTTCCAAATTTCTTAAGATCTTTCGATTTCTCCGTCGTTGATTAAAGAAAATGTTGATTGTTATTTAAATCCAATAATAAGTTGCCAAAAAAAGGTTATATCCTTCTCTCTTTTTTTATAATTTATGCAAATATTGATTTTTTTTAAAAAAAAATGTCTGATTGTTATTTAAATCCAATAATGAGTTGCCCAAAAAAGATAAATCCTTCTCTTTTTCAGAATTTATCCATGATTTTAAACAGTTGATTATTGAAAAGAAAAATCAAACAAGAAAATGAAACTTCGTTAAATATTAGAAAAGGGTACAAAAACTCAATGGCGGCTCACAAACATATCTATTTCCACCTTTGAGAACGAAATTTCAAGCTCCAAATTGTGCATTCAATGACCTATGAAACATAAAATTCCAAACTTGTGCATTTGTTGAACTGCTCGTCCAAAACGTCGTCATAAGATTATCTTTTGACTTTAAATCCAATTTTTTTAGATCCATGATAGTCGACATCAATATGATCAATTGCTTTGACACGAGTAGTCTATGGCTAGCGAGATATTTGAGATATGACATTATAAAGCTACATCTCTACAAAATGCTTCCCATACACAATGCATTTTGTCGCGATTGTCGTACTTGTTATTCTATTGTTATAATTACTAATACTTGAGAAAAAAAAAAAAAAAAAAGAAAAGAAGAAAAAAGAAGCAGCCCAAAAGGTGACGAGGTGATGATCAAAGGAGATACCATTAAAGCGATACTTATCAAATAACCGTAGCCCATCGAAGGGAGACCAGTATCCAAGTTTCTATCTTGAAGTAACTTGACTATCGTTGTGATAAATGCACCAATCAGAGATGTAATGGCACAAAGAGAGAGCGGTGCAGGGTATTCTGCCAATGTCGCAGCCTGGCCAAGAAGCCAAAATATTAGTATGCTGGTTAAGTCAATGATTAAGAAGTAGCACTAGGGTAGAGTTTGCAATCCCGACCCAAGTTAGTCGGAGCTGGACCAGGAATCTTAACAAGACAAATTTATGAAGTTCAGAAAAACTGGGAAACTCAAGCACTCCCAGGTTTTCTGACCTGAAATCGCGTGGCTCCCAATCCTAACTAAGGGAAGTTAGATCAAACTAAATTTTTTTTTTAGCAGTAAAAGCGTAAATTTAAGAAAAGTACATAAGACCATAAAACAAAACATAAGACCACATATCTTTTTGTTTTAGATGAATAAGATGAAAATCTTGGTACAAGAAAACAATAAGACAAACTCTAAAAAAATGAAATACATTGTAAGGCCACGTATCTTGGTACAAATAAGTCATAATGACCGGTGGTTGTTAGATTTTAAATCATACGGCTGAGGGTGTGAAGTTGACTAGCCTTAAAAGTTCAAAAAAATATTTCTCGTTGCAACATACCCAAACTATTGATTTGACATCACTAAAAATGATTGTGACCACCTTATACTAAAAGTACCAAAGGTAAATGGCCATGTCGACCTAAATTTAGTGACCTTTCTATTGGCAAATCGTTTAGACCTTTCTATGTTTACATTGATACATCATTTCAATGGCCAATAATGGGCAGAGTTTGGATTTTTCTCATGTTCCAGAAGGTTCGTAGTATATGTTTTTTCCTTGTTCCTTTTTTTCCTTTCTATAGGCGTATAGGTTTTTTTTTCCTTTTTTTGAACTTTGGATCATATCATATATGTTTTTCCAAAGGAAAATTGTTTCATGTGGACTGGGCTGCATTTCTACAATATGCGGTCCCAATGAATAAAGCATCTATCTTCAAAATGGATGCAAATTGAAACTAACAGTCCAAATATTTTCTTCATAAAATCATTATTGTTATTTTTAATTTTTTATATATTCTTGATCTCCATGCTAGGGATTCCTTAAAACTTAGAATTTGGAAATCCATCTCAAAAATAAAGTTTTAAGAGTAAACACATTTCATGTCTACATGAAAGACCTTTTCGAAATAAAACAAGTACCTGTAGGATCATGGTACAAGACACCACAAAAACGGCGGTGAGGAGGTACATGCAACCTATTAGTCTCCCATGGTCGACCTTCTCACGTGCCACGAGAGAGACGTGCATTATTGTGCTTGGACCGCTTAGCCTATACGACACGGGTGTTCCTTGAAAGAAGCTCATGGCGAGGGCACCACTCACGCACACGAGTGCCCCTAAGATCTTCACACGTGTGTACATGCATTTCAAGTCCACTTTCTCTAGCCTGAAAAGCACGTGTCAGAATCCAGTCTCTCTCTCTCTCTCATATGCAAGGGGTGTAAGCAGACCTAACACAGGCAAGGCCTAGTCCAACTTGGCCCTGACCGGCTAAACGGGCCTCAAATTTAAGCCCACCCTTGCTGGGCCTGTGATAGGCCGGGCCGGGCCGGGCCTTCCAGTCCTGTTCGGCCTTTACACCATTTTGAACAAAAGAACTTTATATGATTAGTGTCTGTCGGATGATATATTAAGACCTGGGCCCGACCTGTTAAGCTAACGGGTTCTAAAATAAGGCCCGTAATAACCCGGAACCTGTCGGTCCTTGCCAAACATGGCAAAATAAAGATCATTGAGAGAGAAAAAGTGGCACTAATATCCATTCTATTGGAAACCAAAATCAGTGGGAGAACGCAACTAGTATCCAATGTTATTAAGTAATCAAAGATTTAGAAGGAGAGAGAAAGTACTTGAGGCACCAGGCGATGACGAAGATGAAGGTTGGAGCCAAGTTAGGCATGGCTGAGGCATATGCTGGGGACGTTTTCTTGATCCCCATAAGCAGCAGTGTTTGAAAAACAGTCACCCTACAAATCATGTCACATCCACCATAACATGTCCATACACGAATTAATTATTTGATTAGTGTCATCCTACAAAATTCTATAATCATAATCATACATCCATACATCGTTGATGTGAGTTAATCATTGTCACAATTACCATCATTATCATCATCATCATCGGAAGCAAAAAAACTATCATTCTTACCCTCCCAAAGATATGAGAAGAAACTGAATAAACAAGGCAGGGTCGAACTTGGCTGGCCTTTGATTCCTGGAATAAAATCAGAAATACTACTATTTTCAATGTTGAGTTGTAGAACCAAGAGAGGTAGGGGGGAGAGCATAAAATTATTTGGCTACTGAATCAAGGCTATGTCATATAGAATGATGAAGAAATTCACTGCTTCAGAGAGAGCTATGTTAATAGGAAGATAGAGAGACTCGTAATCTTTAGAAAAGAGGAACAATGTATGTTATATATATTTAGGAGCAAATTACGTACCGACACAAACAAAAGAAAAAAGCTAAAATACAAAATGAATCAATTTTGGGTTTAAATTACACGGAAGATCGGTCAACCTAAGATTTTATATTTATTTCAAAACTGCCTCTCGACCGTCCTCGGCAGCTCTTTATTTTTATTTTTTATTGAGATTTTTCGATTGTAGAAATGCCTAGTCGGTCCGATATTAGCATCATCAGATTGCCTTTTGTGGTTCTCTTCAAAACGGTCTGAGATTGACATCCTCGAACACCAAAGACTAACTTTGTTGAACATTCAGAGGTGGCCAGAGCTGCCCATTCTCAGACTGCCTTCTCTGGTTTTCTTCAAGAGGTTGGCATCCTCAGACTGCATTAGCTCATTTGCTAATTTGTTTGCTAAGAAACAGAGCGGTTCGAGGATGCCAAACTGCTTTCTAGATTGGGCACTGCTCCTAACACTAAGGCACTACCCAACTAACAAAAAAAAAAAAACTAAAAAGTAAAAAACACCTGCATCCTCAGACAAGGGGACCATTTTGGAAAAAATAAAAAAACAACGGATTGAATGATCGTTGGTGTAATTTTCCCCCAAACTAGGCTCATTTTGTATTTTCCTTCTTTTTGTATCCAAAGGTAAATTACTCTATTTTTAAAGCAATCATATACGTCTGGGACTCATATAATGCAAGTCCCCCTTAATCAATCATTTTTAAAATAAATTTTCGCCATGCTTTTTAAAGAATATTCAATCCCCAACATGGAGTTCATTAATTTGTAAAAAAAAATAGATTTTAAAAACAAAATGATTTACTTTACAGAAAAATCCTAGTCATTGATTTTAACATTTTCTTTTGAGAAACTTTCACTTACATCCATCTTTAGTTTATGCCTTGGGGATGCAAATGTAAATTCGAACCCGGTAAACTATTTTTCCATTTTTCAAAATTTACCCAATGCATGCAGCACTTTTCGTTCTGTTTTTTTTTTTTTTTAATTCTTCTAGGAAAAGAAAAAAAAGAAAAAGAAAAAGAAGAGTGCCACAGCATTGGGTTAGGTGTGCGGCACTTTTCCTTTTTCTCAAAGATACTGTTCTTGCATATAGATATATAACATTCATTAGAATGAGAAGAAAACCCTGTGAACCACTGAATCAAATCTCCTAAACAACACAATTGAAGAGAAGTTTTTTAACTTGTTAAGAGAGAGAGAAAGAGACTGAGTTTTCCAGGTCAAACAAGAAAATAATCTCAATTTTCTTTTAAAAACCCCGTGCGTGTTTGAGAGAGAGAGTCACCTTTCCAGGTAAAGAGCAAATGGGGTGAGTAACATGCCGGTCACAAGGCTCCCATAGATGACAAAGAAGAGGGGATCAAGACCTTGAGCCAGGAAATGAGCAATGAAAACTCCATAACCTGCATAGATGGCTTGAACTGTGACCAACCCCAAAGGGATCAACAAATCCTCCACCACATTGATGGAGGATCCGAACATGGCTACAAACTTCTACCAGACCCCAACAATCCCTCTCCTCCTTTCACCGGCTCGAATCGCACCAGACCCAAGAGATATGGCTCTGGTTCTTCACCTAACGGTTCTCAACTACCATTCTTCTCTCTCTTCTTTCTCTCTCCGCTTTCTTGCTTTCTCTCCCCTCTCTGTCGTTTGCAAAGTGGGGATCAACCGAAACTGTGGTGGGAAGTTGGAGGAGAGCGTGGAATAACTGCCAAATCATATGAAAAAAAACTTATGGGTTGGATTTCTCCTTTCCCCACCTAAAGACGGGTGTTGAACCTGGTCCATGGGTCCATGGTGGTCCTGTTAAAAGAGGTTGACTCGTCCTTTTTCCTCTTCTTCCGGTTTTACTAAAGGGCATGCTTATGGTCAGTCAGCTGACTCACCTATTACGGTGAGGTCCCTTATCTTAGGTACATCTCTGAGATGGATGTCAAAAAAAAAAAAGTTACATTCACTAAAAGTTAAAATGGATAGTAAAAAACATAATTCAACACATAATATTTTTATTTTTAAAAAAAATCCAAATTTAGATCATTATAATGGTTGAGATTATCAAATTTTAAAAGTTTTGATCGAAAATACATCTCAATGATATATTTTGTAGGAAGACCGTACAACAATACTATGAGCCGGCTGACTCACCAAACAACAATTTTCCTTTACTAGAAGAGGCTGGTTTTCACGCCCTTATCCGTGTAACTCAAAGCTTGGAAAGAGAGAAACTCAACCCCTAGAAAGAGAAAAACTCAACCTTAGAAACAGAGAATGAAGCATTAAATTTGATTCCTATCATTGGACTACCTATGGATTAAAAAATTAAAACACAACAAAATATAAAAAAAATACTTACTATACTTCTCCACCCATGTATATTTTTCCTACTCGTCCAATCTAAATGATCCTTAGAGTAGCTTCAGCTATAATGTTACAAGTGAGCCATTGATCATTTGATCTAGATTTAACGTCTCATATTATTTTATTTTTATATCTATTTTTATAACAAATCTTATGAATATGAAAAAAATTGATGTGTCATCACCTCAATAAGACGGCACCTAAAAAAGATATTTTTGAAAAATAAGATAACCAAAATACCGCTTAAATAAAAAAACAATTGTTTCATGCGGGCTGGACCGTATTTCTATAATATGCAAAAGTATAAAGCATCCATCTTAAAAATAGATGCAAGTAGGTCATCCATCTAAAAATAATTGTAACTAACGGTCCAAATGTTTTCTTAATATAATTATTATATTTATTTTTCAAAAAAAAATAATCATATTCATGATCTCCATGATAGAGATTATGTATTCTCTACAATTAAAATCAAATTATATTTAAAATATATATTTCCTGCCAAGCTCGCATTGCTACAATATGCGAGCTGGCCGCATGCTATCCGCGTTCTAAATAAAAATACCCTTAAGAGTTTTAAGGGAATTTTGATCATTTTATTTTATCATGAATATTTTTTATATATTTTTGCAGGTGTGAGCTTAAAAGAAGAGTAGAAACCCCAATCTAAAAGTAAAAAATGCTAGCATACAAAAGAAAGAAATCCAAATTTATGAAGTTTTCAATCCTTTTCTAATAAGAAAAAGGAGGGGTTTTTCAAATTTTCAAAGTTTTTCAAATCTTCTAAAATTTGTAAGAACACCTCGTCTGTTAAAAAAAAATGTCAAAAAATATCCTCACATGCCATGCAGAGTTTGTTAGTACATGGACAGTTTTTTTTAGTAAAATCTTTGTGACATGGGATAACTCCCCGGGGCTCATATTATCAACTTATTATCTTCCATAAATTTAAAATCATGACCAATATAATGATAACAATAAATATCTATTTAAGGAGTTCTTCGAGAAAATACTTCAATATCTTATTAAAGATTTTAAGAGGCATGATTTTCAAAGACTTATTAAAACTTACCGTCTTTTTTTTTTTTTTTTGAGAAGAAGTATTTTCACTTTCAATCATGTTTCAAAATATATTAAGGAAAAACTCCTAGAAATTTTGACTTAAATTTCTCATTCTTTAAATAAACATGGTCCTTGTTTGACAGGCAACTGGGCCGATTCAGTATAACTTCCACAAAACAAACACGCCTCCTTAAAGATCTTCACTGAAAGGCAACTGGGCCGATTCTGTATTGTGGAGAGGGATTCATTGAACGTTATTAATTGATGTAATGGAACTCATAAACCCTCTTATGAGGGTAGGTCCACCTTGCTGTAGATATGGAATTTTGTTTAGGACTCTTAATACTTCGTTTGTACATGTTTTTTTGTGAGGCTAATGTGCTAGCCAATCATCTTACAAAAGGTGGTTCAACCCTTAAGCCTTTTTAACTTCGGATACTGCAATATCTTTCGAGCTTTAGCTCCTTATTAATACATGTACTGAATTCTCTCAAAAAAAAAAACACGCCCTTAAATTGGAGAGATTTTATAGATTGCTATGCATGTAGAAAATATGCATATTTCAAGATTGAAAGGTATTTTGGACCAGCAGGGACCATTGTACTCCCAAAAGTTTTGAAACTTGGCTGAGGCCTTGGACTGGCCCGAGCCAAGTAACTCCGCCACGGACTCAACCGTGTCCATGCAGAGGAATAAAAAAAGAAAAAACCTAACAAATTTATATATATAGAGAGAGAGACACATGCACTTCAAGGGTCCAAAGCAGTGGCATCGGCTTTTTCGGTTCCTCTCGCCATTAATGAAATGAGGACGAGCCAATGCCAAACTGAGCTAGACCAACCGTGTATATATATATATATATAAAAGGTGGCAACCTTAAAATGTAGAACTACGGATGCACCTCAAAAATCCATCGGTAAAAGCTGTTTTAATATTGAAAAAACCCTCTAATTGATCATTTCAACATCAAGATGTATGACTATGAAAAAAAAAAAAAAGATTTTGAGCCCGTGCAACTTACAACGTATTATCTAGACAATCTATTTTCAAGATTAACATATTATCTAGACAATCTATTTTCAAGATTTCCATATGTTTATAGATCTACTTGATTTTATTCATTTTTGGAGATTAAACTTTTATAATTAGATTTGAAAATAAATTTGTGCGCGTACATACGCAAGTGCACACACACATTATAAAAAAATTAATAAGCAAAGTAATAGAAATAATTGAAAGTCAAAAGTCCAAAAACATATGTAAAAAATGAATTATAGAAAATTTTGATTTATACCTTGAATTATTCTGAGAATAAATAAAAAATTAAAATTTGGAATTTGAAAGTTCCCAAATCATCATGAAAACAATAGAACTTCTATAAACATATATTTCTAAATCATAAATTTAATATTTTTTAAACAAAAATTAAAAAAAAAATTAATTAATTGGGGGCGAAACAGCCCCCCAAAATCCCCTAAGCCATAGGCCAAAGCTTAGTTACTCGACCGATTCTTGAAACAGCCCATTGCTTCTCATTTCCTTTAAAATTTCAGAAGTCACAAACAACCAAATGAAAAAGAAAATAATAAACCAACTTTTCTCACTTTCACCATGCACATGTAACTGCATCGGACCCAATGAGAATATCAAAACAAAATCAACAGATATACGTTCCCTTTATTTGTGCTGATTTTAATAGAATTTCCAATATTTACAAAGCAACAGACAATGAAAATTGGAAATGTAAATATCTGTGGCCCTTTTCTGATATAATAGCCCAACACATAGACTAGGATTTCAATCCAATGTATTTGCTAAAGATTTTTTTTTTTTTACTGTTAGGTATGACAATTATGTTTGTTAGATAAACTGGAATACAGAACCTTGAGGGCAAAAAAAAACGGAGTGTCTTAAGTGAAAAATATTTTTTTTTCCCGGCCAATATATTTTGTGAATAACAAAGAATAAAGTAATCATCATGAATAAAGAAACTCACAAAAAAGGTATGAAAAAAAAAAAGGAGGAAAATGTGACATAAAACTGTAGAAAATACCTGAGGGGAAAACTGAGGGAGGGAAAGGCCGGTTTTTTAATGTTAGAGGGTTGATCTCTTTGTTGTTTTATAGTTAGCAGTTGCATGCAAAATCTGGTGATGAAATCAAAGGGTATCTCAAAGACTTTCTAAACTTTGGGGAGCCACTTGGCAGGCACGTTTTGCCATGTAGTAAGCGTGGTGTCAAGCCATGGAAGTTATGATCATTTGAATAACATTAAACAACTGAACGTTGAATATAGGGAAAATTACAAAAACCCTCCAAGTATATTACCTATACAATTTACCTCTAACTAACTTTGTTTTTCATTTTTTTTCTCACAACCACATTTCCTCACAAATACCCCCAATCCAAAAAAAAAAAAAAAGAGGCTAAACTACCCCCTCTCTCTCCTCGTTGCCTTTACCCACGACTCTCTCGTTCCGGCAATCCATTTAAATGCTCCGGCAATGAGGACAGTGCGCTCCGGCAATGAGGACAATGCCCTCCGGCTATACAAAGACTTGCTCTAGCAGCACACCTTTTGGAGCCAAAGCACTCCGACGGTTGGATAGGTCGCTCCGGCAATGAGGACACACCCTCCAGCAATGCAATGACTCGCTCCAGCGGTACATCTTCTGGAGCCACAACGCTCCGACGGTTGAATAGGTCGCTCCGGCAATGAGGACACACCCTCCAGCAATGCAAGGACTCGCTCCAGCAGTACACCTTCTGGAGCCACAGCACTCCGCGGTTGAAAAGGTCGCTCTGGTAGTACAAAGATGAGCTCCGACAGTACACCTTCTGGAGCCACATCGCTCAGGCGGTTGAATTGGTCGCTCCGGTAGTATACTACTTGGGACCTCCAATTGACCTTTTTTTTTGTATAGGAAGGGCATTTCTGTCCAAAAAATAACAACTTTTTACTTTGGGGGGTTTTTGAGAGGAGAGGTGGTTGTGGGGAAAAAATGAGAGGAAATGTTAGCTGGGGAGTAAGTTGCATAGATAGTATACTTGGGACGGTTTTGTAATTTTCCCTCAAATATAGCTAGGGGCAATGGACATGACCAGAAGTGGGACCCAACAGGTAAACTGGATCTCGAATTCGAGTATGGGTCCAAATTTTGGATCGAAATGTTGGGTTTGGGTTCAAACCCTAGACCCGAATACTATTTGGGTATGGATTTGAGTCTGGCCGGACCCGACCCGACCTATCTATGGGTATTC